TATTTGTTTTCCTCAATTCAGAATCTGCTGTTGGCATTAACAGGGGCAGATGGACTACAAACATTGCAGCAGCATTTCCCAACTGTATTTCAAATTTAGTAGGTGTTGCATTAAGTAAATAAAATAATAGCAGATAACATATGATAAAAATAAAAAGTTGACTGGATAGATACTACATATTTTTCTTTTGGAGATTTACTGTGCATGATAATGTATTAAAAGCCTTGAGAAAGGGCCTGCTGTAAAAAAATGTCTCTTTTTTAAACAAAGGTAAACTGAATTGGTCATTAAGCTCTTCCTTTGAGAGCACTAATTTTAAAGAATATTGATATTCCATACAGCACGGTTTGTGAAGCACTGCTTTAGGGTAATAATTTGAAGATGACTTGGTGATAGGATTCTCTATACCAAGAGGCTCTACAAGATATATGTGTAGGTGATAGCTAAGGCTTACTGTGGAGGGTGCCTGGGTGGCTCAGTTGGTTAAGCGACTGCCTTCGGCTCAGGTCATGATCCCGGAGTCCTGGGATCGAGTCCCGTATTGGGCTCCCGGCTCAGCGGGGAGCCTGCTTCTCCCTCTGACCTTCTCCCCTCTCATGCTGTTTCTCTCTCTCTCTCAAATAAATAAATAAAATCTTTAAAAAAAAAAAGGCTTACAGTGGAAATTTATGAAATTTAGACAAAAGGAATCACTGCTTTAAATTCCATCTTTTGTAGCATTTATTGGCTGAATTTTATGACAAAATATTGAAATTCACCCCCAAAAAAGTTACTAAATGCTAGCTAGTAACCTGTATCAGAGGGAATTTACAGTGGTTTTTTTTTTTTTAGAGTTGATATTACTTGTTGAGCTACTTGCTAAGATAGTGTTGTAAGTTATAAAAATCTGGGTCTGAGGGCTCATTTTGTTCATTTTCATTATGATCATATTCTTTCTTCAGATTCTGATCGATATTCTTATTTTTCACCAACTTTAAATTCCTGCTGAAGAGAATTACATAGTAGAAAGAGTTGGACATTTGGTCTTAACTTGTGTTATCCTAACTAACTAACCCTTTTGTGTTTTTGATTTCCATCTCAGGGGACATATTCTTAACTATTTAAATAAGATTATGCATGTGGGAATACTGAATCTCTTATAACGGGGCGCCAAGTGGTTGAACTTGCTAATATATTTGCCAAGAGGTTATATTTTTATAATATAGTGGTGTAGAGATCAGACCCAGTGTATTTTCTGTTATAGTTCAGTATCTAGAAGTGGAGTAGGCCTTAATATTTGTTGAATGAATAAGTGAAAGAATAAATAAAATCTAATGGTGACAGAGTTTGTGGAAGTAAGTAAACTCAATTATTGCTGAAAATATTACAGATAATTTGAGGGATACAGTGTAGTACAGTGGAAAGAGCACTGGACCAGGAGTCAGAAATCTAAAGGTGAATAGTCATGTGATCTTATTCAAGTCTCTGGATCTTATTTCCTCATTAGTAAAAGGGAGACTCATAATAACCACTCCTGCCTAGTTCATAGGTTGTTGAGGGAATAAAATGAATCATTAATAAAATGCTTTGCAAATATAAGTGTACAAAATCAGATTTTTTCTCCCTCCATGCCTAGCTCAGTACCTTGAACAGTATTAGCACTGGTATAGACTTTCTTTCTTAACACTGAAAAGGAGGCTAAGAAACAGAGTCTAGGACTGATTCTTGGAATGCTCACAGATTGTTGGGGGATAGGAGGAAGAGGAACCTGCAAAAGAGAAGCAAAAGAACCAAGGAGGAAAGAGGAGAACCAGGAAAGTGTAGTCCTGAACTTTCTAGACATGATTTTCACTAAACTTTGCTTATGCTCTTGGGGAAAGGGAGAGTTAATACTTGGCAGATAGCTTTTCATTTAATTTTCTGCACTCCGCCCGAGTAAATCCCTCGCCCCTTCACATGACAAGTTTTTGAGGGTGAAGAGAAGTTCTTGTAAGCTTGAATTAGAGTAAAGACCTTCACTTAGGTAGTTTAAGAATACTTGAGCTTTGGTTTTCTGTATTTTCTATACTAACTATGAATAATTTATTATCATGAAGACATTAGAACTCTTAAATCACTCAGCTGTTCTTTTTTTTTTTTAAAGATTTTATTTATTTATTTGAGAGAGAGAATGAGATAGAGCATGAGAGGGGGGAGGGTCAGAGGGAGAAGCAGACTCCCTGCTGAGCAGGGAGCCCGATGTGGGACTCGATCCTGGGACTCCAGGATCATGACCTGAGCCGAAGGCAGTCGCTTAACCAACTGAGCCACCCAGGCGCCCAATCACTCAGCTGTTCTTGACAGCTTCAGGGATGCCACTGTGGTCTGGACAGTGAGCATCCAGTGTCAGGGAAAGGTCTGGGATGAAGTGTTTCCCAACCCGTTGCTTAGCACACTGCTGTTCTCTAAGATACTAAAATAAGTTTGGGAAATACAGCCCTCCTCCTGTACTCTGCATTTCCTCCTCACCCACCCCTCCCACGCATATCACTAGACTGTGAACTCCATGAAGGTGTGAATGCAGGGGTTTTGTCTTATTCACCATTGTAGCAGCAGCACATAGAACTCTGTGAGCCACTCAGACTGTAAATGACAAATCATAATAAAATTGACTATTTTTGATAAGATGGTTTTAAAATTGTGGATATTGGGCACCTGGCTGGTTTAGTCGGAAGAGTGTGCGACTCTTCATCTTGGGGTTGTGGGTTTGAACCCCACATTGGGTGAAGAGATTACTAAAAATAAATAAACTTTAAAAAAGTTGTGGATATTTTTAGGGGATGGCTAATATATTTTTGCTTATGCAGTATACATATATTTGATTTCCAGGAATGGCTTATCTGAAGAAAATCCAAAATGTGATACTTCTAATTGCACACCAAATCAGGAAATAATTTCTTTTGTCACAAAAAGATCATTTGCATATGTAAAGAAAGATTATTTAAAATAGTAAGATATCTTCATATATTTACAAAGTGATTGAGTTGTAAATTAGTAAATCTATTACTTTTCCATAAGAGAAAACTTGCAGAAAGTCGGGTACACCTGACTGAACCTTCTTGCCAGTGATCATATGTTGACTGTTTTTGGTGGGCAGATTATCTGTGGCTTGATTATCCCTGACTCTTCCCATTAGCATATTTTACAAAAATTTAAGAAAAACTTATAGTAGGCAAAATTAAATCATTAGTTATGTGAAACACCATCATAGTTTTAGAAAGGTGGGTGTATGTTGGGGGGGTGCTAGCATGTGAAAATAATAGCTAAAATTCAGTATTTGAATAATTTTATGGTCATTAGTTAACTGTTCTAGCCTCTTACTCTAAATCTGTGTTCTCTAATACAGTAAGAATCAGTCATATGTGGCTATTTTTATTTAAATTTAATTGCAATGAGATAAAATTAAAAATTCAGTTATTGATTGCAGTAGCCATGTTTCAGGTGCTCAGTAGCCATGTACATATATGTGGCCAGCCGCTACTGTGTTGAACAGTGCAGATAAGGAACATTTCTTTCCATGCTCTAAGAAAGTTCTGTTGGATAACACTATTCTAAATTAATGAAAATTGCCAAGAGATTTCACCAAATTTATATATCCTGAAAGCTGGAGAATAGAGTGGCAAGAAATTGGAAACCTTTCCTGTATGGAATTCTTAGGTGGGGCCTCTCAAGGTAGTTAAATTCTCTAGTAAGGGAGAGAAGAAACTAACTTTTTTATTATGAAGTTCTTGCCATGTTCTGATTTGATGTCTGTCAGGGCCAGGCAGGGAGTATTATTCCCCATTTTATAGAGGAGGTCAAGCCTGTTGAGTGGATCATAATCTTCAGTTTACAGTTCTGTCACCAGTCAGCAAAGACTTTCTTTTACTCATCCATAGGCAACTATTTTAATATGTTGATGTATCTTTTTGTCTTTGCAAAATGCATATTAAAGCATCTAGTTCGTGAAATTTACATTTACATAGATGGTATTATGTATCTAATGTGAGATTTCCCCACTCTCCAATGCTGTTTGATGATTTAAACACCCAGCCTTCTTCTTTTCATAAGTTTTGTGAGGAAATCTTTCTAAATGGTGTTAAACTTTTTGGCTTTTATAATTAGAGAAGTCTGAAATAATCTCCCTCTTTTTCTTTGCTCAGGGAATATTGATAGGATTATTTGTCCCTGAATGCTGTATGTGATTTTTGTAAGTTACTTTTCTTCACCCGTTGGGTGGTCAGTGATTACTTCTCACAGGTATTGGTGTGCCTGAGTACTGTGGCTGCTTTTTTTTTATTTGGAATTTTTATTGAGCTAACTGTAGATTCACGTATAGTTGTAAGAAATAATACAGAGCCATCCCTTGTATACTTTGATTGGGCACAGCTGCTTTTTTTTGTTTCCACTTTATATGTAGGCTGGGAAGTGGGGTAGAAAAGCTTGTTAGAATTATGTCAAGTAAGAGTGAAGCCACCGCATTCTCTTATGAATGTAATGTATGAACTTTAGTGTGTGGGCTTTTTCTTAGCTGCTCCTTCCTTCCTTCCTTCCTTCCGTCCTTCCTTCCTTCCTTCTTTTTTTAAAGATTTTATTTATTTATTTGGCAGAGAGATAGAGAGAGCCAGAGAGCACAAGAATTGCAGAGGGAGAAGTAGAAGCAGGCTCCCCACTGAGCGGGGAGCCCGATGCGGTGGCGGGGCGGGGGCGGGGGGTGGCTTGATCCCAGGACCTTGGGATCATGACCTGAGCCGAAGGTAGCCGCCCAACCGACTGAGCCACCCAGGCACCCCTTTAACTGCCTTTTTCTTAAATTTTTTAGCATGTGTTTCAGGTGGTGAAGTTATTATATAGCTGAGTTCTTTGTAAGTGATATAATATGGTATTTCTTTTCCTTTAAGCAAATTGAATTTCTCCATCAAATACTGTTGAAATTAATTATACAGATGTGAAATCTTAAATTTTGGTAATGATGAGATATTTCTGTGTATGTTTTGTTTTAGGTTGTTTCACGAAGAAATCCAGAGGATGTCCAGGAGGTAACATGTTTATACATATGAAAATTTTATTTTATGTATTTGACAAAAATTTAATTAAATGCTTTGTTGAGGAAACGGAATTGTTGGTATGTCTGTCTTCATATTTATGTGTTTGTCTGGACATGATCTTTAGCTCATAAAACAGTAGCTGAAGTTTCCTATTTCAGACCTATTAAGTATGTGTTAAGTTTTAGTAGGTGTTAAGTTATACAAGGAAGAATTTAAGGAATTATAGTGCTGTTTAATAATGTGATAATGTTTCTGAAAACTAACATTCGTAAGATTTTAGTATTAGTTAAGAGCTCTTATCTATTTCAAAATCATAACTTTAATAAAAAATGAAGAGTATTTGGTAACTAATTTTAAAGATCATAATAAATTATGGGTTTCTGTCTACTTTCAATTTTATATTGAGTTGACATGTTGACACCTTGGAAGACTGCTTTGGGTGTAGATGTCTGTTTCTTTTTTAAATTTGTAGTTAGTTGTTTTGTAGACTCTTTCTCTCTAAAATGATACCAGTTTGTGTGTTTTTGCTTAAAACTATGGAATTCTTTATTTGTAATTACTTTGTGCTTGTTATATACCTTTAGGAATCCTAATTGGGGAGCTTGCTTGTTTTAACATTTTTTGATTTACTTTCATTTTGGTACCTGCTCATTTACACCATATTAGGAGGACATATGTTGGGGATTTTTTTTCTTACTAAAGTTTTTAAAAAGACTTTATAAATTGGCAGTCTTGATTCTGCAACAGTTTTTTTCCCCCGATTTGAATTTTAATGTCTTTAGATGGAGTATGTATTTTCTAACAAGCCCCACTACTCCTTACTTAACAAACCTGGCTTGATTCATACATTTAAATTGTTTGGTGCTGGTTGGTTTGAGTAAGTGTGACATCAGGTTTAGACAATATTTGAACTTTTATACATTAGCATTTCTTGCTGTATTTGATTCAATATTTGTTTTGAGTTCAATAAAACACAATTTTAAAAGATTTCATACTATTTTTCTTAGGTGTTTTAAGATATCTCACTTTTCTCCCTCAATAACCAGGAAGAGAATATTGTAATGTAGTTATTTTGGAAAAAAGGATATATGTATTTCTATATCTATAGCCTTCCAAAATGGAAGTGAAAGTAATTTGCACCATTGTATTAAGTACTGTCTTTACTTAGTGTCAATTGGCTAGTATGGACTTTCTTTAGAACTCTTCTAATTATGTTGAATTAATAATCAGTACAATCTGTTCTGCTTTTGAAATTTTACAACTCTGTTAAAATTAAAGATGGGTTGTGTTTCCTTTGAATACATTGTCTGATTGCTATGCTGTAGTTTGTAGCTTGATGTTCCCATTTTCCAGGGAGAATCCTGAGCCAGCCTATCCATGAACATACTCTCTGCCATTTCCTTAATCCTTTTTTGGGGAAAACTCTTTTATAATAACAACTGTTGGTGAACCATTCATCAGAAAACTCTTGTAAGTGTCCTTTAGTTAGATGATTGCATGGTCCTTTGTTAGACATGATATAAAAATTTTTAAAAATGTCTTCTGTCCTGCTGGCTTCTTGAAATATAGAATAACCTTGAAATTGTAACACTCTAGCTTCTCATGTATTTCATTCAAACATTGGAATTCTCATCTAGGAGAGAAATTTGCTACCTAGAGTTTGTTTCCATTTCCTTTCCTTTCAATTTCTCTCTCCTCTTAAGGGATTCATTGAGTTACTGCTTTAGAATTTAGTCAGGCTTCCCAAGCACTATTGAAGATTAGAAGACGTTCTGTTAATCTAACCAAATATAGGGCTAATAATATGCTATCCTTATAAAACTGGAGATGTTTTGTTAGTTTTCTTTTATAGATATGTTTGCACACCTTGGTACATGCTACCAGGTAGCAGTGTTTTCTTCCTAATGCTGAAATACTCACATGGAGGAAATAATTTAAAATTATCCAGGATAGATTTCTTTTACAAAGTTTTATCCTTCAAAAATTCCCACTAAAGTTTTATTTATTAAGAGCAGCATGGGATGGGGCACCTCGGTGGCTCAGTTGGTTAAGCATCTGACTTTGGCTCAGGTCATGATCTCAGGGTCCTGGGATCAAACCCCACATCGGGCTCCCTGCTCAGCAGAGAGCCTGCTTCTCCCTCTTCCTCTGCTGCTCCCCCTGCTTGTGCTCTCTTTTTCTCTGTCAAATAAATAAATAAAATCTTAAAGAAAAAAAAGAGCAGCATGGGAAACTCTGAGGGGGACAGCAACAGTTAATGTGGCCTCTCATTCAGTAGATTCTCTAAAGCATGAACACCTGCAGAAGGGTAAAGAAAGAACTAGAGATGTTGTGCCCTCCCTCCGGTATCTTTTTCAAAAAGTAACCTATAACTCTGTTTTTCTATAGGTAGTAGATTTCACTGGTGAAATTTGGGAAAAGGAGAAGAACTGAAATAGAACTTTCTATGTATCACGTCAGAAATCTGTTAAGTCATTCCATAAATAAAGTAGTTTGATAAAAACCATTTGAAAACATTTAAAATGTGTCAAAGGAAAGAAAAGGCTCTTGAAAAGGGGAGAAAGAAAATCCGTAAGCAAGTATGGTAGTGGTGCTGGTTGCAAGAAAAGATGATTCAACAATTTTAAAATACTATGTGAGAGGACAAATTGAATTGAATTGAGTGGTTTTGTTTATGGGATCTAAAGGTTTTTGCTATCATTAAGTGAAATTATCTGAAAAGAAAACATTTATATAAAAATTATTTAAGGGAATGTTTTTGATGAAAGTTAAGCTTTTACTAAATTCGTAGTGTACATATATGACTGTCACTGAATTAATATTTAATTGAGGAATTTTGTGCAAAGTAACTTTAATGAATAAGAAATTTCTGCAGGGGTGGGTTCAGTAGAACAGTAGTTGTTATACAGTTTTTTTTTTCATAGTAGGAAAGAATTACTAGAGAAAATAATTTTTCCATGCATCTTTTGGGACTTTGTGTAGTCCAGTTATAAACATCAGTACTGCTAATGTAGTGGAAATGTGCTTTTGTTCACTTTTCCATTTTGAAGATTTCTAGAAATGTCCAAGGTTAAAAGGAGTACGAAGAAAAGGAGGCAGTGATGGTACATTTTGTGATGCTTTGATTTCTTTGATTTCTTTTTTTTTTTTTAAAGATTTTATTTATTTATTTGACAGAGAGAGACACAGCAAGAGAGGGAACACAAGCAGGGGGAGTGGGAGAGGGAGAAGCAGGCTCCCGACAGAGCAGGAAGCCCGATGCGGGACTCCATCCCAGGACCCTGGGACCATGACCTGAGCCGAAGGCAGATGCTTAACGACTGAGCCACCCAGGCGCCCCGATTCCTTTCATTTCTTGAGGGTTTATATTTGCTCTTAGATATTTGGTTCTATAGTTCTAGCGTTGAGAATAAGGAGGATGTAAGAGAATAAATCAGGCATGATGAAAAAAAGAGTCTCACCTTGGAGGCTCTAATTCTTACTCTGACAGACTGTATGCTAGTTTATAGACAATGTTATTATCATTATTGTGATTAAGTTACTAACTTTTGCCCCTTAAGTTACTCTGCCTTTATTTAAAAATGACCCTAATTAGAACAGAAATTTTATCTGCAGATTTGTTTCCATGAGCTACAGTCTTTTGAATAGCTCTCGTTTCTAGTTTATAATGGTTTTAAGGATGGCATTTATCTTATGTAAGGCTATTTTCATAAGCCCATCACCCATTTCTGCCTTTGGCAGCGTGGTACCACCACAATTTGATTTATTTTAAAAATATAAAAATAGCACTTTTTTTCCCCATGACAGAATTATTTTCATGTATTGAAATTAGAAATTACAGAGAAGCAAAAAATGTGAAAATTAAAATCACTTGTAATCTCACTGTCCTGAGATCATTTACTTTTCAAGTATTGGCTTGTCTTAGTTATTCATTCCTCTTGTTCTGTCTTTTACTGGGACTATTGGTTCTTTACTATCAGCTTTTGTCTCATTCAGTTCCATTTTAAAATAAAATCTTTTCTTCCATCCAGGTGGTCTGTCTCATGGCAAAACCAAGTTCTTAAACACCTACTTTGCACTTGGTTTCCTCTTCCTTACTTCTGGCTGACCTCTCAGTGTTAGGGCTCCCCATTGTTTTGTCCTCAGATTCCTCATCTTGTTAAAAATGCTGAGAAAGCTTTCCTGAGTGATTGCACACCTCTCTGCTGATAATTCCCAAATGAATACATCTTGCTTAGTTCTCTCTCTTGAACTCCATACCTGTGCCAGATATGTCTAAAATTGAGCTTTGTTCTTATCTTAAAAGTTTCCTCTCCCCATTTCTTCACCTTAGAGAATGGCACCACTATTTGTTGGTCTAATCACTACTTGCCTTCAGTATTCCTAAGATAATACCTTCCGTAGGTGCTCCTTTCTTAATACCCTTGGGCTTCCCTTGTCCGCATTTATCACACCGTCTTGTGACTTAGTTTTCATGTTAGCTTCCTCCTGCCCACCAAGGGTCTGTGTTTCTCATTTCTTTATCCTTTGTGCTAACACAGAGCCTAGGACAGAGTAGGGACATGAAAATACTTGTTTTGGTGACTATTTTTGTTGTTGAGTAAATGAATAAAAGGAAACATCAAAAGGAAGCAGTTTAAATTAATTCATATGATAATCTGACTAGTCTCCCAGGATTATAACTATAGTAAAAACAAGAAGCTCATCATGGTAGAATTTTTTGATAGTATGATAAAGTTTAGTTAAGAATTTCTTACATCCAGAGAGTAAAGTTTTTGACAAGAGTCTCTTAAATCTCACTTGATTACCTTCTTGGCCTAAGATTTGCTTATTATTAGCATTACATTGTATTGAGTTTGTTAGAAGTGAGGTAATTAGGTTTTGTTTTTTTTTAGAAGCAAAGACCCTAGTATACCAGGTAATGGAATTTAAAACTCAGTTTTATCCTATTTTTTGGACACTGAGGGGCTGAATCAATGATATCAAAGTCATGTCAAATCTGTTTTCTTTATAAAGGTTTTTTTTTCTAATTTAATCTGAATAAAGTTAAACAGTAATTCAAATTAATGGAGGTAAACTTTTACATGTTACATAATCTAGATGATGGTTATTTTCTGTTTTGAAATATACTAGTTCTAATGGTATTCTGTTCAGGATTCATCTTGCCTTAAATCCTTATTACTACTTTAAAACTGAGATTTGTGAAATAAGATTTATGAAATGTAAAAGTTAAGGTTAATTACTACACAACCATTTCTTCAGTGTTATTTAGCTTATCCTTTAGGCAAATGTTGTGTAGGTACTTTATGTTTAAAAATTGTTTAGGGGACGCTTGGATGGCTCAGTTGGTTAAGCATCTGACTCTTGATTTCAGCGCAGGTCATGATCTCAGGGTCGTGAGATCAGTCCCTGATTTCAGCGCAGGTCATGATCTCAGGGTCGTGAGATCAGTCCCTGCGTAAGGCTCTGTGCTCAGCGTGGTCTGCTTGAGATTCTCTCTCCTCCCCCGCAACACATGTGCTCTCTCTCTCAATAAATAAATAAATCTTTTAAAAAAATTGTCTAGGGCGCCTGGGTGGCTCAGTCGGTTGGGCGACTGCCTTCGGCTCAGGTCATGATCCTGGAGTCCCAGGATCAAGTCCCGCATCGGGCTCCCTGCTCGGCGGGGAGTCTGCTTCTCCCTCTGACCTTCTTCCCTCTCATGCTCTCTCTCTACCATTCTCTCTCTCTCTCTCTCAATAAAAAAAAAAAAAAAAAACTGTCTAAATTAGGTGGCTCAGTTGGTTAAGCCTCCGACTCTTGATTTCAGCTCAGGTCATGATCTCAGGGTTGTAAAATTGAGCCCTGCTTTGGGCTCTGTGCTGAGCCTGGAGCCTGCTTGGGATTCTCTCTCTCTCTCTCCTCCTTTCCCTCTGTCTGTCCCCCACCCCTGGGCTTGTGTGTGCCGTGCACTCTCTTTTTCTCTCAAAAAAATTGTCTTAACTATTTTGTGTTTATAAACATGCTCTTTTTAAGACAGAATATGTATTTTGATATCTAGCTCATTTCCAGGCTAATAGTAATTGAGTTTTGAAGAGGTTAAGTGACATTTTAGGTGGTATAGACCTTCTTTGTACCAGGTTGAATATTTTCCTAAGAAAACAGTACTTGTGTAAAATGAAATTTAAAAACCAAAACAGAAAAGTTAAAGAGTTGCTGCTTTATATTTTTAAATCAAATATTATTTAATCTCAGATAGTTAACCATATTGGTTAGAACATATATTTGTTTGCCTTTGCATGACAATTTTGGGCACTTTCATGAAAAGATTTTTTGTTGTTTAGATATCTGAACCTACATAGTGTCACTGTGAGAGACACATTTGATTTTTCTTTTTCTTTAGATAATCGTATGGAAGAGATACAGTGACTTTAAGAAACTACACAAAGAACTATGGCAAATTCACAAAAACTTATTCCGACATTCAGAATTGTTTCCTCCATTTGCTAAAGGAATAGTATTTGGTAAGTGATTATTTTGAAATTGTGATTTTAAAAAGTGATGATTGGCTAATTGTGTGTGTATGCTGAACCCTGAAATACTGTACGATGAAGTCAGAAGCCCTTAGTAAGATGACTGATATCAGGCAGCACGCACTTGTTGTTTTATCATGTTGCTGGTGTAGGCTCGTTAACTCTGATGCATTTACTCCTACCTTTTGTGAAACAACAGCACACCAACTTCAATTCCAGCCAGTCAAGCAAATAAAACAAAACAAAACCAAACATGTAGGAACATAAGAAGAGATGATATTGAATTATTCTTATAGTTCTGAAATTTGGGAATTTTTAGAAGTTTATACTTCATACATTTTTTCTAATACCTTCCTTAAAATGTGAATGGTTATGATTTGAGGCACCCAGCCAGGCCAGACACAGATATTTTGGGGTGGTGGCTCTGGATATGTTATTGATTAACGACTTAGATTCATGGCTTTGCAAAATTTTAACAGCAAACTGAGGCACAGAGCTTCCTAGTACCCTGCTCTTGTTGCTCTGTGCCGCCCGTGGTGTATGTGTGTGGGGGGATACGTCACCCTCTAGCAGGTTGTGGTGCCAGTTCCTGTCTGCAGCTCCCTGCTTACCAGTCCCGGCCTGCAGGTTCCTGTCCATCAGCTTTGGCTTTCCTACCATAGAACAGCTCTGACTGGGGTAACCCCGCTAACTTCTCGCATTCCGTGTGCCTGAGCCACGCTGCATGCCTATCTGCCAGCCTTGGCCTGCCTTTACCCCAGAAAGTTGTTTCCTGTGGCTTTCTTAACATAGACATTGTATACCCTAGGCCTTGTGTTACCTTGCTTGGGAGTGGGCTCCCAGCATTGTGATTCTCTCTTCTTGCTCGCCCGCCAGTCTGGTCCCGTGTGAACTCTGGAGGGGTCTTTCTCAAAGCTTTCCTGGCAACTGTGGACTGGCTCTGGCCTAGGGAACCCAGCTAACTTCTCCCCCATTCAGTGGCTACAAACACATCTTCTCCAGGAAGATCCCAATCCCAACTTTGGGGGTGGGGTTCCCCCTTCCAGGTTGTTCCTTACTTTGGTAATTTCCTTTACCCTGGGGTATTCTTTAGAATTAATAAGTTAACTGTTGTTTAATAGTCTTTATTTATATTAAGTTTTCCTTGTTCAAGTTACTATGTGGATTTGGTCTGGACTGAACCCTACTGATGCTCTCTTTGGTTGAGGAAGACTTTTGGATGATTTGAAATTATCCAATCTCCACCTGCTTGTAGTTTATGTGGAATAGTGATTTCTTCAGGCTGATTGCAGGACCACAGAACTCACTGAGCTTTACACCTTTCTTAGGATATTTTGCATATTTTACAAATCCTTGAGATCTGGGGACAAGAAACAGATACATAATAGTATAGTAACATCAGTGGCATTTATGACAGAATGAAGTGTGGCCATCAAAAGCTTGTTGCTACAATTCTTTAATTTTAACAAATACTTAATATTAATAATTTATGATATATAGTGATGTCTTGAAATACAAGTAATGTTAAGAGGTATCTTGGGTTCATAATTACAAAGGAAAGTATTTGTATTTCCTTAGGTGAAAAGCAATTGAGGGATGTGGACAACAGGTCAGTAGCAATAGAACCATTAGTTTTGATGGTACCATCAATTAATTTTGTTCGCCTCTGAAGCACTAAGGGATCCATAAACTCTTGTAAATCTTTGGTCGCTTTTGACCTTTGAGCTCAGACATTCCATGGTATTCACGTTTCTGATGCCTTCTGTCCATTGTTATTAGCCAATATCTATGGTTCCTTACCTTTTTCCTTGATACTTTTTCTTATTAAAGTTGTAGTTGCTTTTTGCCATTGAACTACTACCTTTTCTGATCATGATTCTGCTGCTATTAATAGAGTCTTTGATTAATACCAGTCCAGCTGTAATTATCTGGAAATTTATTTATTTATTTATTTTTAAAGATTGTATTTATTTGACAGAGAGAGACACAGCGAGAGAGGGAACACAAGCAGGGGGAGTGGAAGAGGGAGAAGCAGGCTTCCCGCTGAGCAGGGAGCCCGATGCGTGGCTCGATCCCAGGACCCCGGGATCATGACCTGAGCCGAAGGCAGATGCTTAACGACTGAGCCACCCAGGCGCCCCTTATCTGGAAATTTTATAGGCACACTAAATTCAAGAAACATTTTAAAAATAGGCATTATGGATATGATGATTCAGCCTCTGTCTTCTGAGAAACTTAGCTGAAGTGAGCATCATGATCTAGAAGTTCTGAAAGGGAAGTGATTTAGGATGTGACATCCTTACTGTCAGGTTTTTAAGTTTTGTGGCACTCTACTTTTTTTGAGATTTTTTAAAAATTGAATATAGTTGACATATAATATGATAGGAGTTTCAGGCGTACAACACAGTGATTAAACATTTACATAGATTATGAAATCAATACAGTGAGGCTAGTTACCATCTGTCACCATACAAAGTTATTACAATATTATTGACTGTATTCCCTATGTTATACTTTACATCCCTGTGACTTACTTATTTTATAACTGGAAGTTTGTATCTCTTTATCCCCTTCACCCTAACCTCCCTCCCTTCTGGCAAGCACCATTTTGTTCTCTGTATCTATGAATCTTTTTCTGTTTTGTGTTCATTTGTTTCGTGTTTTTTAGATTCCACATACAAGTGAAATCATACTGTATTTGTCTTTCTCTGACTTATTTCACTTATCATAATACCCTCTAGGTCCATCCGTGTTGTCACAGATAACAAGTTTTCATTCTTTTTTATGGCTGAGTGATACACTGTTGTGTGTGTGTATGTGTGTATGTGTGTATAGCACATCTTCTTTATCAATTCATCTATTAATAGACACTTAGGTGGCTTCCATATCTTGGCTATTGTAAATAATATTGAAATAAACATAGGGATGCATATATCTTTTTTAAATTATTGGTTTCATTTTCTTCAGATAAATACCCTGAAGTGGAATTGCTGGATCTTATGTTAGTTCTTTTTTTTTTTTTTTTAAAGATTTTATTTATTTGACAGAGAGAGCACAAGCAGAGGGAGAGAGGGAGAAGCAGACTCCCTGCTGAACAAGGGGCCCAATGTGGGACTAGATCCCAGTACCCTGGGATCATGGCCCCGGGCCGAAGGCAGCCGCTTAACCGACTGAGCCACCCAGGCATCCCTGGTAGTTCTGTTTTTGATGTTTTGGAGAACCCCCATTCTGTTTTCCACAGTGATTGCACCAATTTACATTTGCACCAAAAGTTGCAAGAGGATTCCCTTTTCTCTAAATCCTTGCCAACACTTGTTATTTCTTATCTTTTTGAGCCTACTCATTCTGACAGGTGTGGGGTGATATCTCATTGTGGTTTTGATTTGCAATTCCCTAATAATTAGTGATGTTGAGCATCTTTTCATGTGTCTATTGGCCATCTGTATGTCTTCCTTGGAAACATGCTTATTCAGATCCTCTACCTACTTTTTAATTGGATTGTTTGTTTCTTTGGTGTTGAGTTGTGTGAGTTCTTTCTCTCTTTCGGATGTTAACCCCAGTGACACTCTATTTTAATTATGAGGATGCAAATAATTAAAATTCACCAATCTGAGGAGTTGTTTTTTTTTTTTTTTTTAAGATTTTATTTATTGGCGTGTGCATGAGGGTGGGGGGCGGGGGAGAAGCAGAGGGAGAGAGAAGCAGACTCCCCGTTGAGTGGGGAGCCCGATGCAGGGCTTGATCCCAGGACCCTGAAATCATGACCTGAGCCGAAGGCAGCTGCTTAACCAATCTGAGGAATTTTAAGAATCATGCTTTTAAATGCACACCAAAAGGTGTTCTTTTATATTCTAAAAATAAGAAACTTCCCTCATACTTAACTGTCTTTTTCTCCCCCTTTCTCTCTTAGTCCTTAGCACGACTTTGTGATTAGAGACTGCTTTATTCTTACTTATGGTTGTATCTTCAGCATGTAGGACCATGCCCAACATATAAAAGCTTAAAAAATAAGTTGAACAAAAAGAAAGAATGAGCAAAAATTTAAGAGACAGAGTAGTTATAGGCAATGATATCTTTGAAAGTCAATCTCAAGGCAAAAATTAAAAAGCTTGATTATACTCAGTATGGGGATATAGATGCACAAGAGGAAGAGTAAATTTGCATACGTTTTGGAGGTCAATTTAAAATATACCTTTTCCTTAAAAAAAAAATGGCTTTTCCTAACAATTCTATTTTTAGTAAATTTTACTACACATCTATTCTCACATCTGCATAGGAAATATTCATCAGTGATTATTAGACATTTTAGTCTCAGAAGTCTCCTTTATACTCTTAAATATAATTGAGCATCTCAAAGAACTGTTGATGTAGTTGTACCTTTTAAAATTTACCATATTTGAAATTTAAAAATAATATTGTGTTAAATAAAAAATAAAAAGTATATTACATATTAATATTTTTATGAAAAATAATTGTAAGAAGAGTGGTTTTAATTTACATTTGTGAATCTCTAATGCTGGGATTAAGAGAAAACAGCTAGATTTTCATATCTGCTTGTGGATCCAATCTGTGGTGATAGATTGTTTTGATTGAAGTATATGAAGAAAATTCAGCATTATAGAGATGATGTAGGGAGGAGTATTTTAATAGCTTTTCAGACAATTGAAGATAATCATCTTTGATACACCAAAACTTAGTAAGTGATAATTTCTTAAAAGTTTAGTTGCATTATGGAATCTGAAATCTTACCAACAAAGCTTTGGTACTTTGTTTTATTAAAATTCATTAGTCTATCTTAAGTTTGAATGGATTTTTTTTACGTATGCATGAGCTTGTAACATCATGCATTGGTCATGTGAAAAATATTCATTCCCCAAGTTATGCAGATCTTGCATATGTTGACCTATTTCATTATATAATATCAAAAAATGGTAAATATCATCTAAATGGTAATATCTAAATGGTAAATATCACAAATCTCTAAAAATAGT